GGCCTGCTCTGGCTCTCTCTGCTATTCGTTCGCGCAAATGAAATAGAGAAGAAGAAGAATTTTTTTTTATTTAATTGTAAAACGTATTACTAGAATACGTTTATTTATTTATTTATTTTTAATAAATTGCATTTAAAAATGTATTATAATTATACGTTTTTTATTTTTTTTTAATTAAAGCGGATGATGCGTTTATTGAAAACGCTCCTTTTAATGAACGTTTTTAGTTAAGCAAAAAACGTATTCCTAATATACGGTTTAAAAGACTTTCTTCTTTTAAATTAAATTTTATAAATTAAAAACGTATTACAAAATTCTATTTTTTAAAACCCTAAAAATCAATTTTAGGGTTTTAGAAAATGTATTGTGAAATACGGTTTATAATTATAAATTTTTATTCAATTCGACTCTTTTTAAAAGGAAATAAATATTTTTAAAATTTTACAAAATTAATTAGAAAACGTATTCTATGAATACATTTTTTCAATAAAATGTTATTAGAAAAACGTATTTATAGAATACATCGTGTTTATTTTGGTCCACTCCTTTTTTTTTTGTCCACTTAATTTTTTTTTTAAATAAATAAAATACCCCACCTTTTAGGAATCATTTATTTAATTAAAAAAAAATTATACGTGGACAAAAAAAATAAAAAAAAAAGTTGTTTGGAAAAAAATCAAACAGCCGGATTCTCAGAATCAGTTTTTCCTTTAAACACGGATTCTGAGAATCTGTTTTTATTTATTTATTATTTTTTATTTTTATTTTTTTTATTCTTTGTTAAAAAAAACATATAGTGTACTAATTGTTCAAAATCCGTTTTTATTTTTTTTTAATTTTTTTATTTATTTTTTATTTAATTAAAAAAAAACTTAAAAACGGATTTTCATTTTAATTTTTATTTTAAAAAAAAAACTTAATTTTTATTTTGATTTTTTGTTTTTTAAAAGATAACGGGCGATTACACTATAATTGACCGAAATGGTACTAATTCAACTTTAATTGAACTAATTAGAGTTCGATTTCACTATAATTGACCGAGATTGTACTAATGCGACTTCAATTGGACTAATTCGAATTCGATTAACTATAATTGACCGAGATTGACTAATTCGACTTCAATTGAACTAATTCAAGGTCGATTACACAATAATTGACCGAGATTGTACTAATTGGACTAATTTGACTTTAATTTGACTAATTCGAGTTCGATTACACTATAATTGACCGAGATTGTACTAATTTGACTTCATTTGGACTAATTCGAAGTCGATTACACTATAATTAACCGAGATTGTACTAATTTGACTTCAATTGGACTAATTCGAGGTCGATTACACTATAATTGACTGAGATTGTACTAATTTGACTTCAATTGGACTAATTCAAAGTCAAATTAGTACAATCTCGGTAACGTATAGTGTAATCTAACTCGAATTAGTCCAATTGAAGTCAAATTAGTACAATCTCGGTCAAATTAGTACAATCTCGGTCAATTATAGTGTAATCAACCTCGAATTATTCCAATTGAAGTCGAATTAGTACAATCTTGGTCAATTATAGTGTAATCGAACTCGAATTAGTCCAATTGAAGTCGAATTAGTACAATCTCGGTCAATTATAGTGTAATCGACCTCGAATTAGTCCAATGAAGTCAAATCAGTCCAATTGAAGTCAAATTAGTACAATCTCGGTCAATTATAGTCCAATTGAAGTCGAATTAGTACAATCTCGGTCAATTATAGTGTAATCGACCTCGAATTAGTCCAATTGAAGTCGAATTAGGATAACCTCGGTCAATTATAGTGTAATCGACCTCGAATTAGTCCAATTGAAGTCGAATTCAATTGGACTAATTCAATGTCGGTTACACTATAATTGACCGAGATTGTACTAATTTGACTTCAGTTAGACTAATTCGAGGTCGATTACACTATAATTGACCGAGATTGTACTAATCCGACTTCAATTGGACTAATTCGACTTCGATTACACTATAATTGACCGAAATTGTACTAGTTTGACTTCATTTGGACTATTTCGAGGTCGATTACACTATAATTGACCGAGATTGTACTAATTCGAATTCAATTGGACTAATTCGAGGTCGATTACACTATAATTAACCGAGATTGTATTAATTTGACTTCAATTGAAGTCCGTTTTATCCGTTTTTATTTTTTTTTATTTTTTATAATACGTTTTTATTTTTATTTATTATTTATTTATTTATTTGAAAAAAACTTAAAATCGCATTTTCAAAAAAAAAAAAATTTAAAAAACGGATTTTCAAAATCCGTTTTTCATTTTTTTAAAATAAATTAAAGAAAAATAAATAAAAAATAAAAAAAATAAAAAACGGATTTTGAAAATCCAGCCGTTTGATACATTTCCACAAATTTTTTTTTTGTTTTATTTTTTGCCAATTTTTTTTTATTATTTTAAAGAAATAAGCTACCCCACCTTTTAGTGCAATATTAATATGATTGTTTTCCCAGCACTAGCATTATTTAAATAGTAATGGGAACAAGAAAAAGCTGTTTTTTTCTTGATAAATAAAAAATAATAATAATCCTTTGGCGGGCGTTAGACTTATTGGCAATTGTCGCTCTGTTTTTCTAAGTCTCAACTACCAAGTCAGTAAACGGTAAGCCTATCATCATACTCTCATCAATTCACATTTGCATTTGTGATTATTAGCGCCTTTTCTGTTACGTTTTCTATTTCGAAGTTGTGTATTTTGTTTGTTGATGTTAGATTTCATGGGCTGCTGTGTTTGTGTTTGAAAAAGGTAGGTTTTGTTTGTTGTTGTTGTAGTAATAAACATAAAGAGCAGAAAAAGGCAAAGATGGGTGCGCGATTTTCAAAGCAGGCATCAAAACCAAATCCTTATGCTTGCAGAAATACGGCTCATCAGGAGAAAAATCATTTGCAGATAGAAACATCAATTGAGAATCCAACAGCGTCCACGCTTGATGAGTTCTATGACGGGATACCTCAGTATCAGAGGAGTTCTTACCAGAAATCCAGATCATTTAGGGCAACTAAGGTAAGTACAGAATTTCTTATGTATATTATGATTCTTTAATTCATAAGGTTTGGCATTTAGCACAAGTTCTTACTGAAATTTGTGTGCTTGCTCATTTTTGGTGTTTGATAATTTTTGGGCTTACTGTGGGAAAAGTAGGTGTTGATACAAGATTGTCAGGTGGTTTCATGTAATTAAAGAATTGCTTTAAATTGTAATGTGTAGAAAATGACAGGATCTTAGTTAAGCACTGAGGACTTGTCCAAAAGTTTTGCTTTGCATAATGAGGTATGTTTAGAATCAAGGTAGATGTAGAATAGGAGATCAATTTTTTGGTGGTTTTTGTACAATGGCCCTTTATCATGCTAAATTGCTAGTTACATTTCGATAATTTGTGGAAACTAAATCCATATTCTTTATGATGGTCCAATTACAACCAGATTCCAGCATTATTTTTGAAATTACAGAATGTACACTAGTAAGAGTGCTAAGCTTTTGACAATCTCTGAGTGTATCTGGGGGTGTGCTAGGTGTCTAAATTTTGATAAACATGTTTTAAGCACTTGAACAACTTATAGGTGGAAATTTGTACAGGTTTCAGAAGTGAGTGCTCGTCTAACCAGAGTTGGCAGTGCTGGATTTGAAAAGGCAGCAGGCCTTTTGGACACACTTGGGATGAGTGTCGGTGGATTTGTTCCCCGAACAACTGCCAAAAGCAGTGAACTTTCCATTTTATCGTTTGAGGTTGCCAATACAATTGTCAAAGGCTCTAACCTTATGGAGTCGCTTTCAGACAAAAGCATACGGAGACTGAAAGAAGTGGTGCTTCCTGCAGAGGGTGTTCAGAAGTTGATATCTAGTGACATGGACGAACTTTTAAGAATAGTTGCATTTGACAAACGGTTTGTCACTGTAGAAATTGATTTCACTTTGTTTATTTTTTATTTTCATTTTGGCAATGATCATTTGTNCTTCCATAATGCAGAGAAGAATTGAAAGTTTTCTCAGACGAAGTTGTACGCTTTGGGAATCGATGTAAAGATCCTCAGTGGCATAACTTGGACCGCTTTTTTGAGAAGTAACTAATTGAAGTTTTATGCATTTTTTTATCTTTGTTTATTATGGTTGAGGGTAGTTTTGGTTTGTCAATTTTTTCGGTGCCAATTATGTTTCCAGACGTAACAGAGATCGAACACCTCAAAAGCAGTTGAGGGAAACAGCAGAATCACTTATGCTGCAACTGATTTCATCAGTTCATCTTACAGCTGTTAGTATTACTTCTTGGAGCTAATGTTATTGTTTAATTATTTTAATATATATGTCTTTCAATATTGAAAACATATGTTTATTAGTACTTTCTACACTTTAAAACAATTCTAATATCTTTGGTCATTGTCCACCAAACACTGCATATCTCATTGTTTATTGCCATGAGTATTGTGTTGTTGGTTTACTGTCACAAGGATGAGCATTAAGTGACCCTTTTGAAAGATAACAAGGAAAAAAATATAAGAATAATATACTCAAAATATTTTTTCTTCAGGAGCTATACCGGGGGCTGCATGCACTGGACAGATTTGAGCAAGACTATCAGCTTAAGCGCCTGGAGGAACTTAGATATAATGCCTCTCAAAGAGGTGATTATTTATGTTACCTTATTACATGAGCACTTGTTTGCATCCCCAGACACAAAAAACTTAGCACATGACATAACAGTAGACACATGAGTGATACGAGTTCGTGTAAGGTCATAAATGGGCTTGCGTATAACTCATCCCCAAACATAACTTCTAACAATGTAGAATTTAGTATTTTGTTTTTTTCTTTTTTTTTTTTTTT